TCTTTTGAAAAATTGTGATGATGATAATATTCATCAATTTTTTTTTTTTTTAATTTTGTTCATAATGATCAACTCCTTGGATGTTGATGACTCCACTTGAAAGATACTTCAAAATCTTATCATACTGATAAATCCGATTCCTACCTATATATCTATTTCTTATAAGAGCCTTTTTGTTCTACATTATATTTCACTCAACTTCAAGGAATTATGTCCTCAATTAAAATGCTTGTTGTATGTTGACCTAACTTGCTTATATAATAAAGGGAAAGATAAAAATGGTAGAAAAAATATGTAACAATCATGAAAGCAAAAGTAAGAAAGCAAAGAAATTAAAAGAAAATTAAGATAATAAAGATAACAACCCATAACTAAACACAAAGAAATCAAGTTATTCATCCGAGCCAATTTTTAAGAAGGGTTAAAACTCACTAAAAAAATCAATACTAGATTACTACCAAGCCCTACAATTTTTATGGGATTAAAAAAAAAGACGATAAAATAATTTCTTTTAATTCAAAGGAAACTCTGAACATGGTACAAGAAAGATAAACTCACTTTCCAAGCAATTTTCCAAAGAAAGTTGACGCTCACTAATTAAGAATCAACATAAGATATGCATCAAGCCTTCTAACTCTTTGTAGGATTAATGGTAACAAAGTCTTGCAAATTTTAATGAGAAAGAGGGATGAGGGGGACTTGAAAGCACAACTATTTACCTCATCATATATTCTAAGAAAAATGGCAAAGGCATTAATAAACTTTACTTCACATATAATAGTTGACGATGCTTCTAGCTTTAATATCAAATGATATAGATGGAAGTGGCAGAACAATAACAAGATACATAAGACATGAATAATGATGATAATATTATTAAAGAAATTTTCAGGGAAACAAAAAAGTTTTGAAGGGAACTCTTGAATGAACTATAAAAGAAAAAAGTTGTCAAGCTTCATATTTTTTTTACATGCTAGCAATACCTTACATAATTTCAACCCAACTTTATTTTTCTAATGCAAATCCTTTAATATTTATAAACATATAAATAAATATTATTGTATAAACTCTTGAATGAAAAAGGAAGGTCTAATATCTTTAAGATTTAATTGTATTATCATCTTCTTTAATTAATTGAAGAGATCCTTGGTTATAAAGTATAAATAACTTTCTTCCATGTATTGGAACCTTATTGGAAGGTGGGGAGAGATCGGTAGATGTCCCTTGCATGATTTCTTGCTTAAAATTTTGATCCACATATGAAAAAAGAAAAGATACCTATAATTATTTTTATAAATATTTTCTTCATTGCTCCACCCTTGATTGAAGGTGATAATGGCACGATCTATCTATAAAAGATATGATTTTTTTTCATAAGAATATAAAGGAAGTCGGATTCTTTACAAATTTACTTGATAATCAGTATGGTAATCAAATTCTTTCAAAATGATAATAAAAGTTTAACGGGAGTGGGGAGATTGGAAAAGATGTCTCATGCATCTTATAATAATTTTTTTTATGATATCAATATCTTCCTTGATTGCTCTAAAGGTGTTAATGGCATAATCTTTCCATAAAAGAAATGATATTACTTTTAAATTTTGAATAATAATATTGAAGTTGAATTCATTTCAAATTTAAGTAATAATCATGATAATAATCAACTTCTTCCAAAATGATATTAATAATATAGCAATTTCTAAGAAAATAAAAGCTTTTATGAATTGATGATGATTGTATTCTTTCAAAAAAGGATGGTGAAGATAATGTGCATCTTATTTTTATATTTACATCATGATGATCAACTCTTTGCATAATGATGACTCTAGTCTAAAGGTATTTCAAAATCATATAAAATTAATATATCTGAATCATCACTATAAATAATTGAATTTTATCAAAGCATTCTTATTTTGCCTATAAATCTTATTTGTCTATCTCATAACTATCAGGACTAATAATATTATAATACTAGAAAAAGACCTTAACTCTCTCAAACTCTTGCTAAAATGTTTCGATCATATGCCAATATAGATTATCTTCTAAATTGAAAGAATTACTTCTTTTTATTCTTTAATTAATCTACTAGAGCCTGTATAAAATCATTAGCAAAGATTAGTCCAACGGATGCAAGTCTATAAATCATATATACATCAAAATCTTCCACTATATTCATTCCAAATCTATTTACAATAGTCAGGTAAACACTTATAATCGATCTATCTCAAAATGCTCCTAACTGCAAAAGAATAAAAAAAATGAAATCAAAAGAACTTAAAGATACTGATAGCCTCACTCTAGAGAGTACTGACTCTTTCCTAAACTTAAATCAATCAAATCCATATAATGAGCACACAACCCAATAACCAATCAAAACCCACCACTACATTCAATGCAAGGTCTCAAGAATTAATATGAATGCTTATTTCAATCAATATAAAATAAGTGATCATCGATATGAAATCAATGATCAATGTCAATTCATCAACAAAATCAATATGATCAATGAAACAAAAGTATCTCAAAGCAAAAAAATCCATCATAAATTCAATAAAAGTCTATAAAGAAATGTTAGGTATAAACATATGTCAATTAACTACAATCTTGAATGTGATTATGAATAGCAAGGTAAGACATATATTCAGCTTTAATTTGGTGTTTTCATTCTGTCATATGTCATCCATAAATCTTATGAATTATGAATTGTATTATGATTTCATCATCATTGTATCATCAATATAAGTGACTTTCAATAATTTATAAAGAGTCATCACCCTGTCTGTTCATGTAATTCAGTCAATCAATTGCAGGCTAACATCTAAGATTATACCACAAATATTTTTATTTTAAGGAAAAGTTTGTCAGCCCACTCTCTTTCATAGGGTATTATATTTTAAGAGTAACTCCTATTAATTATAGTGTTAATAATTAGCCTTCTTTGCTTATATGCAAGTGTTACATTTATTTCATAACCATCATGACATTTTTCTACATAATATAGGTCGATAAAATGTATAAAATGCACTCATCTAGAAAATGGAAAATCTAAAGTCGAAATACCCTAATTAAATCGATACACCAATAAAATTTAATAATATTACAGTCAAAATGCTCATAAAATTTATATCTATTGTATACAAAAAGTTACATGATGAAAGTGCAGTAAATCAGATGAAAATACATTTTTATCGATTTGAAAAACGTTAAATTCATCAAACTCAAAACCATTGAAAACCAAAGTAGGATTCATGTTACCTACCATGAGTAGGAAAAATCTCAGAGCCTAATCGTTGGATGAAAACACTCTAAACCCCTTTTTCCCTCCTCTCTCTCCTCATCCTCCTCTTATCTTCCTTTCCTTGCCCCAACAAACCCAATGGTTGGAATGAGAGGCTAGCTGAGTGGATAAAATATTTTTTTAAATGTTTTCCAGTGCCTAACATCGCAGCGCTCCAATGACCCAGCGCTGCAACGCTGCATGTAAAACAATATTGTGCCTTAGTGCCATTTAAGTGTTGTTGTGCTAAATTATTTTTCAAAATTTCCAAAGAGCTTAGCATCATAGCTGTGTGTTCCTAGCGCTTCCCAATGTCATTAGGCTTGCAAGCACAACAACATAGTGCTCCTATTTATAAATTTTTCAATTTTATAGATTTTCATTTTAAAATTATTTTTAAAATTTTCATATTTGTTACAAATCATACCCCAACCCAAGCAGAGAAGACAATTACTAACAACCATGTTAAATTAAGGTTCAATTGGCTCTAACTCCGCCTCTTTTTAGCACTCCCTTGAGGAAAAATTGAGTTAACTCATTAGTTAGTTTAAACACGACTCATTAACTAGCATAAGCGACGATCTTATTAAGACAATAGGTAAAGCTTGAGCTCAAATTACAACTCATATGTTGAATGAACTCAAGTCTGAGCTTGATGAGGATGGACTGTCTACTCAGAAGCTATCTCGATTAAATAATATAAATCTTATTTATCCCTCATTTTATGTTAAATCTTGATAGTTCACTTATCGCTTAATTTAGGGGAGCATTAGGAGGATTAAAATGTCAATGGTCCCATGGCAACTGCTTCTTCTTCAAATGTTGTTGGTCCTATCGCAACTTTTTCTTCAAACGCCATTGGTCCCATCCCAACTTTCTCTTCTTTAAATATTAATGATCACGTCAATGTCTTCTCCAACAAGCTTCCATCATGACTTCAAGTTCAAGAGTACCATTTGATTAATAAGCTGAGCTCATGTTAGTTTGTACTTGGGCCCAACTTATTTACACCCCTAATATCCTCAAAGTTAAGCCTCCGCCAACTCAAGCTCCATCCTAATCGGTTGTTGCTCGGACTCAAGCAAAACATAGGCTATGTTGACCATAGTCCCTTAATGCTCTACGTTGACAATCTCTTGACACTTGTCATCATGTTTATTTTGACCGAGGTCTCGAACTTTTCCCCAGTCACTACTGGCAATCTTAGGTCACAATATACATAGGATTACTCTTTACCGGACAATGTGGCAAGCACTATGAAAGAGAGCAAAAAACTGCAGTGCAAAGGCACTGATTTTCATATAGACTACCACACATCTTGGAATTTAATTTAGTTTTTATAACTATAAAATTGATTAAATCAAAAACGAAATTATAAAAAAAATTTAATCTTAAAATAATAAAACTTATTTAACTACAAATACACAAGTGAGAAAGATTACGCAAATATAATTTATACTACATAAAAATTATAAATTTTAAGAAAGATTATTTGATATTCTTCTTAATATATAATACTTAAGCTAAAATTAATTTGATTCATTGTTAAAATTAATTAATTTTCAATTCTTTCATAATCAAAACAAACTGATAAAACTAAATTTTAATTTGATTTAATTCAACATTTTTGAATTTTACAATTAAAATCAATTCATTTAACTGACTGATCAATCAAACCAACTAAATCAACCAAATACACACATTTCTATGTGAAGGGTGAAAATTGCAAGGAAAAAGATAAATTACATACATATTTAGAAGAGGTATAAAAGGACTTAGTATACATATTATACATGTACTAAAATTATCATGTAATGTTAGGATGATTAAAATGTTTAAACGATACAGAACCAACAATCTCAATCTGCTTTTACAGGGCTTAATTTATCAGAATCCCTCAAAAAGGTCTCTCATAAATGGCATCCAAAAAAACACAGTTCCTAGTTGAACAGTCAGGCTACAGCCACTGCTCATCCATGTAGCATGGTCATCTCATTTTATAGTATTGAGTTCGGGATACCTGACAGCGCCTTCCATTCAAGGAATATTTGAGCATTATATCTATATCACGGGGATTTTTCTTGTTTGGTTCAACAGACATGCTCCCTACGAGTGCTTCTCCCTCGCAGATAGTCAGCACATCCTCCAGGTATAAAACTGTTTGCTTCCAGTGGGTGGTCTTTGATCGAGGCCCTGCGTTAAAATAGATGAGAAAAAGATCAGGGCACACAAAGTGAATTTCTGCCGAGTTAGTATATGGCTCTTCATGCGTGAAGAAAGAGCACAGACTTGTGTATTGCTGATATGGCACATTGATGATCGACCCGCTTAATGGGTGGGGAGTTATATACATGTAATCTGCACCTAATAATTTCTCGAGTTTGTGACTGTTAAGAAATATTTGAAAATAGCCTATTTATTCCAGAAGGGTCTGAAAAAAGTTTGACCAATAAGGTAGAAGTCCCACTTGTTAAATATCAACTAGCCCTGCAAGTATTACAAGAAGACTCTCGTCACAGTTGAATGTGGGGAGGAGCAATGTATACAAGTACAACCTTAGTCGTATAATAGAGAATCTATTTTCATGTCACACTGATAACCTCCAAATTATAACCGTACACTTAAAACCATTGAGGCAAGGAGGCGTTCATATTATTTTCAGTATCAATAAAATAAACGAAAAGCACATAATAGAATCGAGCTAGGAGCAATCATGAGGTAACCGCCATTATGATCAAGAGGCTACAAATTTTATGAAATGCAGAGGCAAGGTTCATAAATTGGATCCCTTACATCATACAACACACAAACCTAATCGAACACAACTGTTTCCAGTAAGAAAATAAGAATGATAAATAAAATTAAAAAAATGAAAACTAACCTGTAGAAAACCCCATCAATTTGTGGCATTTAGTAAATGCTACATCAAAATATGCGACAAAAGCATGTATGTAATCATTGCGTTCAGCCACAAGTTTGAAAGGTACTGTGAAAGACACATCACCAGCAACCATCTTTGATATGTCCATCGTCTGATATTAAATTATGCTCAGCAGAGGGGGATAAATTTAATTTAAATTATTACAAAAATGACAAGTTTATGAAGAAAATAGGAAATTGAAGGGATGTGGGGTGGACGGGTTTAAACCTTAAGCAACAAGCAGTTCGTGACAATCTGATTCTGGTCTACTGTATCAACAAGAGGCTCCATCATGGCTTGCTTCTTGATGCAACTCATATCAAAGCCATAAACCTTGTTCCAAACTGAAAGAATGTAATAATATAGTTAAGGACATGACAAAAAAAAAAACAAGTTTGTGCAAACAAGAAACCAAAAAAAATTCACATTCAATCTTGTCTTCTTTATATTCAGCATCCTCAATTGCTGTCAAATACAAGGAAGTTTTGTCTGGAAGAACAATGCCATTATGTATCTGCATTTGAAGGAAATGGATGTTAGAGATTCATGAACGGATAACAAATCAAAGGAACACTATCTTCTGTAAGCACTTAAAGATGATATAAAATCTTATCACTTAATAAGCGAGTCATTCAATATATGATTTTGTAAACCTGTAGTTTCTAGCTGCTAAGTCAAATCTTTTAACAAAAATATTAAAAAAAAGGAAAATTTCTAATTAATTTTGAACTAAATTTCCACAGCTTGCTTTATTCAGCCGATAAATAGCTTTAAAAGAACTAAGCCAGCATAAAGTAAAATTACTATAGTATCATTGGGGACACATTTTTTCCAATACTATTATTCCAGTCAGAACATTATTTTGTTAAAATGTTCCATCAGGAAAAAGGTTGAACCTAAACCCTAACAATATAAATTAACAAAAGATCACATACATCATTTTTATCCTATGCTAAATCCTTACAACACTACTGTTGTCAGGTCCTAAGTCTTGGATGATAAAAATGGAGGGTTGCGTTAGGTAGTCGACAGCTAGCGTAAAACTTGTCGAATAATCATAACATGAATCCTTTAAAAATTGTGTTAATGCTAAGACGTCCCCTAGAAGCGACGCGCTGTATGTCTTGAATACAGCCACAAGTGTGCAAGGGCCGCGGTATCGGCGCCCGGGTGCATTGTTAAATGAGCATGGGTTTCCACATCAAGGAGGGATGTGGGCAAAGAAGCTAGTCCATGAAACTAAAATTAGGATAGGAGCTTGGAACATAGGCTCCCTTACAGGAAAATTAATGGAATTAATAGATATTATAATTCATAAGAAAATAAATATTCTGTATATTTAGGAAACTAAATGGGTTGGAGAGAAGGCTAATGAGATTGATAGTTTAGGATATAAATTATGGTATTCGGGTAGGAGTCGTACTAAATATGGTGTAGATGTGGTTTTAGATAAGAGTTTGAAAGATAATATTATAAAAATTAATAGAATTTGAGAAAGAATTATAGCTCTAAAGATTGTTGTTGATGCTAAGATTGTTAATATTATAAGTGTTTAGGCTCCTCAATTAGGTATGGATATGGGTTCAAAATTAAAATTTTGGAATGACTTAGAAGAATTAATACAAAAAATACATCTCGAAGAAAGAATTTTTATTGGAGGATATTTAAATGAACATGTTGGATAGAGGTAGATGATTTTAAAAGCATTCATGGTGGTTATGGGTTTGGAACAACAAATGAAGGTGATAAGATCATATTAGATTTTTATTTAGCTTATAATGTTTTAATAGCTAATACCTTATTTAAGAAAATATATGAGCATATTATCACTTATAAAAATGGATATAGTAAAACACAAATTGATTATTTTGCCATAAGAAAATTAGACAATTTATATTGCAATTATTGTAAAGTTATTTCGAGTGAAAATTTATATACCCAACATCGATTATTAATTTTAGACTTTAAGATAAAAGGACAGAAAATAAAAAAATAAAAATAAAACAATATTCTAATATTAGATGGGGGCATTTAAAGAATATTGACAAAAATATTTTTGAGAGTAAGATTTTAAATCTTAAGATTTTGTCTGTGCATGAATATGCTAATGTTATGTGGAAAAAATAGCTAGTGATATTAAGAATATTGCAAAAGATGTGCTTGGAGTTTCGAAAGGAAAAGCTCATAATAGTAAAAAATAAAAATAGTTGGTGATGAAATTCAAATGTTGAAGAAAAAGATAAAAAATAAGAAGATTTATTATAAAAATTGGTTTAGATATAAAAATTCTGATAATTGGGAAAGCTATAAAGAGACTCGTAAGAAATCTAAGAAAGATATTTGCGATGCAAAGAGCTTAGCTTTTAATGATTTATATAATAGATTAGATACTAAGGAGGGAGAAAGATATATTTATAAGTTAGCCAAACAAAGAGATAGGAGTAGTAAGGATTTAGTTCAAGTGAAGTGTATTAAGGATGAAGATCAAAAAGTACTTTTCTTAGAAGATGATATTCAACAAAGGT